ACGTTAACACCCGCCAGCAGAAACACCCACCTACCCAACTGACAGACGGAATCTCACTATATATCTGCCAATCTCATCCTCCCCTCTCTCATGACAAGGCGTGCATGAGTCCTATCATGAAAAAAATGTAATTGTGCGACCTGAGTAACGTGCAGTAACTGGGTGTTGGCAATGGTAACTGCATTATAGTTACAGTCAAACTAATTGGTTAGATTACTCGTTACCAAGAAAAGGTAAGGCCATTAGTAACCGTTGTTACTTTCAACGCCGTTGCTCCCATCACTGTGAATGAATGATTGAAAGTTTGAAGATTGTTGAATGTGAGGTGCTTTGTTGTCATTAATCCAATGAAAAGACACTTACACTTCCTCAGACCTGGTTTCAACCATCGGACTCCATCAGGCTCCCTGAAAGGAGGAGGAGGGTCAGACCATCAGTGTCTTTCAGTAGAAAAACATGGACATTGGAATAGATCAGATTTGATTCCACTCTGACATGCTGCTGGAAGAACTAGATCTGGGTCATTTGGACTCTGTGACCTGCTGCATGGGTTGTCTGGTCCATTGTGGGAGAAACCAAACTGGTAGAGCAGAATCAAAGCAGACAACATGATGCAGCCTGTACTGTCTGTCAGCTGCTAACAATGAATTCTGCTGTATAAAGCCAGCTGATGACTGAGGAACCTTGGCTTATGTCTGTCAGCCAAGCAGCAGTCAGGCAGGCCTCTGGACCCAATTCTCTTCATTTCCTACTTTGGACATTAAAGAGTCCAAATCAACCAAGCTGGCATTTCCTGTCTCAGTACTGAAGGTTCTGCCACAGCAGACATTACATAGTTTTGTTCTTCTTCACTCAGAATCCAACTGTCCAACATTTGGACCCGTCAATTTGAAGGGAGCGTCTCTAAAGTCCCGTCCTGTAGCTGTCATGTTTCCGCCCAGTTTAACCTATTTTTTTTTTCATTTCATCTTTTGAACCAGGTAGGAGGAGGACTCCATCCAGTCTGGTTCTTAATCTCCAGTGTGAAGAGCTTTCACATCATCAAGGTTTATTTAATCCAACATCCACACTGAGACTGAAGCTGATTTATGAGATGAAAAACAATCAAGCAGGTTTTTCAGCATCTATCAGCTCTTCTTCCTGGACAAGATGAGCTGCAGCAGCTTCATCTGCTCAAATATCTTCATCAAGTGCTGACCTGCCTGAGACTTGAACTCTTAACGTCCTCTGCTATGATAGGATCAGCATCCATGTGACTGCTCTGATCTTCACTGAACACTTCATGTAGTGCAGTCAAAGCTTTATCTTTAGCTTCTGACCAAGAAGAATGGTAAGAGCAAGTAAACTGATCGACAGATGATTCAGATGTGCTAAATCAGATTGGGAAAGTCCCGATGTTCCATCATCAAACAATCTTTTATTAGATATGACACAGACCAATAAAAGTGAGTTCATGGTATCTATCTCACCCGCTAATGCTTCTGCCTTTGCTATTCTGTAAACCCAGTGCAGGAAAAATAATTTGAACTTATAACAGTAAGGTCCATAACCACTGAGGTTCTCTGTGTTTTATAGAAGTACACAAATTTCAGATGTCTGATGTTCTGCTGGAACTTTACTCTGGACACAGATGTGAACTGTATGATGGTGTGTTTATTCGCTGGTTTCTGGTTCTGACTCCAGCAGGTTCTCCTGTCCTTATTTTGTCACGATCTGTGTCCTTCTGCTCTGTTCTTTGAAGTGAGGTTGTTGAGGTATATTACCAACATGGAACTAAATCAGTGGGCTAAACCATCTCCGTTGCCACCTGAACTACCCCTTTGTTCTTGTCCACAATGGAACTACCCCCACGTTACTCACAGCACGGACCAATCAGCCGATGCGCAGACAGGAAGTGCCCGCACGTCATCCATGGGTTAAAAAGCGCAGAAAAGACTCTCTCTCTTTTTCCATGGGTTTGCAGCCCGTCAGGAGAGGCCCATTTCACGTGAAAT